TAAAAAGGGTAATATGGTAATTTGGCAATGCAAGAGATACGCTAATTCCTTGCATTTACTAGTGGTGAATCTTGTGTTTTGAGAAATGCCAACACAGAAGCTAAAAGGGGAAGAAAGTTCTACACTTGTCACACACAGGGTTGCAAGTCCTTTATGTGTAGACATTGTTCGAGTTTCAATATATTGATTGTAGGGGAGGGACCACAGCAAGAAGTCACTAAGTCTTGTGGCTCAAGAAAAATTACAGGAAGTTAAGGAAAAGGCTGATGCCAACTAGAACAAGTAAGTTCTTTACTTAATTTATTTTCTCATAAGTAGTGTTTGGTATGCATGAATCATAAATGGAATGCAATAGTTCATTCCATAGGAATGAAAAAATGTTGTTTTTTTACCAAAGATGGAATGAGATTCCTTCCATCTTGTTACTTTTCAGGAATTCCTGAAAACGGACTTTCTTTTTTCTCCAATACATCATATAGAATGGAATAAAAATTTGCAATATAAACAAATTTTATGTATGTAATTTTTAAAAACCCAAATATTTTTTATAAAAAATCATTATAATTAAACATCTTGTTGGGTGGTATTTGTAAATCAATAATTTTCATGGATAAAAACTTTAAATATATGTGCACAATTTTAATTGATGTCAACTTTCAAAGTTCTTGGGTGGTACCTGCAGTAGTGTTGGGTGGTATTTGGCAAAATCTAGAAACCATGAAGGTTAGTTCTATAATTTCCTTCTTAATTAAAAATATTGCCTCCTTTTTAATAAATGGTAAAAATGTTGTTAATATTGCATCTTTTTTAATAAATGCTAAAGAAGAGTAGTTCAAAGAATCAAATGTCAGGAGAGAACATAATTTCCGAAGACTAGTATGCAAACATAGTATTATCTTTAACCAACATGTATTACCATTTACTTTTTGGTCGGAATGGGAATTCAATTCCATTCCGGTCCGACACTTGGTTTCAAATGCTTCCAACAAAGTCTCCTTTCATTGCAGGAATAAGTAAGTGGCACTTGGTTTTAACAGGAATCGGAATCCAATTCCATTCCAATCCTTCTTTCGGATGCAAGATATGAAACATTAGAGAAGATGTATTCGGAAATGCAAAATATGAGAGGAAATGCAGAAATATGGTTATATTATACTTTGAAATCAAATAGCAATGAGTATTTAACTTTGGTATTTCATTGTTAATATTTGGTTTTGGATTCTATATTTAATGGATATTTTTGGTATTGAAATGATAATGTTTGATTTGGGATTGTATAATTATTTTTTGTTTTAGATTTGTAATACAATATATATATATATATATATATATATATATATATATATATATATATATATATATATATATATATATAGTTGATATTACTCGTTTGCGACGGATCAGGAATGGAAAAGAAACAAAAACATATATTAAATTTGAGAGGGATCAGTGACAGAATACAAAAACATAGAATTTGCGACGGATTAGCGACAGATTAATGGTGCTGAGTTTTGTTGCTAATGTCCTAAATAATTGTATTAAGTGACGAATTTGCAATGGTTGATCCGTCGCTAAGGTCGTCGCAAGGAAAAAGTAATATGTCGCTAAATCTGTCGCTAGGTTATTACCCACACATTAATTGGCTAGAGAGTATGTTTATCGCTTATCCGTCGCAAACATCCTTTAGCGACAGAATAGCGAGGGATTTTTCCATCTCTGAAACCCCTGGTTCTAGTAGTGATATAATTAAATATTTCTTATCTCTCTCTCTCTCTCTCTCTCTCTTAATGATTTTTGCAACAACAAAATCCAGTTTCTTACTTTTTATGATTAACTGCTTTGCATTTATTTCTTATTCTATAGTTGTTGAAATGAAGCATATACTGCATCAAATCCTAAGTGTTTACGTTAAAGTTTACAAACTTAGAGTGACAAAAAACCTTTAAGGATAAGACCTTCTCTGTGCAGTCTTATACAAATCGACATCAACAACTATGATGTTGGTTTTACTTTTATTGTTTAATTTGTCTTATAATTTTGTCTAATAACGTGAAAGTCTGCTTCTACCTATTTCTTATAATCATATCCGACCATGAAGGATCAATCTGATTTTCGGACGAAACTTGGTAATTATATTAATAATAACTGGATTTATTATTCGCAACTAATTAACACATAATTCTCAACATAAAATAATGACATGTCAAATGAATATCACATTTCAATAAATTCAATAATTACGTAACTAAAAGATCATGTATTGTCACGTTTATATAATATTTGTTTGTCACGATATAAAAATGCGATATTAAATATATAAATAATGTGACAATATGGAAGACAATTGTTATGTGCATCTAAATTGTTTATGTTGACAGAACACTAATGACTTCAGTTTAAATTACTTTCTATGATTATAGTACAAATAATAGTCACACTCAACAATATTTGCATGTCTAAATAATAAAATAGGTTATACTTGTAAACAATTTTTGTGGTAATAATTTGAATACTGGTCACAATTACAACAATGATTATGTCTATAAATCATTTAAAGTTATTTTTTAAATAATTTTCTATGTCGAAATGATATAAAATAGTCATAGTTACGTCTTTTTAGATATTTGAATGATAACATTGGTCATGATAAATAATACAAATATGGTTGTAAATTAATATTAAATCTATAATTAGTACTTATGATCATGTTTCACTTAATTTAGTGTTTCTACACGATAGATAATAGTCACGAACATATATTGTTTTTGTGACTAACTATTAGCAAATTGACACTTTTGAAATTAATTACATGTGATAATTTAGTGATCATGGTCATACTCACCGTAATTGCATGTTTACAAAAGATACTCAATAGTCTTAATAAACTTTAAATTGTGTGACAATTTATTAGCAAAAGGTCACATTGAAACAACATGTATGTCACAAGTTGGTAATATACAGTCACTACAATTACCAAAAAAGTATGTCTACTGACGGTTTAACGTGACGTATTATATACAATGATTGATTATAAAAAAAAACAATTCCCTACCAATAGCCACACTTTAATGATACGACCATACATTTTCATATCATTCAGACAATAAATTTTAAAGTGACCATAAGATCGCAACAATGACATCACATTTGGTCACACTTTTAGTGAAAAAAGTCACTATATACATATGGTCACACTTTTATGGTGTATCCTTTGATTATTTTTGTACTTCCATTGGCTGATGTTTTATGGTGTGAGCATTATCTTTTGTCTAGTTTCTCATCTGGGGACTAGGTTCGGGGGTGCGAGAAATTACTCTCCTTTTGTCTTTTATTTATATTGGTTTTATGTCTTGGAGGAGTGTAGCTAAGAAAAGAATAGAAAATTGTTATGAAGAGTTCCTTTCCTCTCGAAAGCTTGGATTTTATCTTGTTTACTGAGTATTGAAATCTTGGAGTGCAATCATTTGTGTTGCTTATTGTTTATGGTTTCATATGGAAGTGTTCTTTGTTATTAGGGTCTAACAAATAAGATTGTCTAGTCTGGTGTAAAAAACACAACTTTGTGGAAGACTTATGTTAATGACATAAATGTCCTCCTCATCCTTATATGTTGGTTATTCAGAATGATTCTGACAATATTACTCGATTTCTCATGCTGGCAAGAGATCCAATTCCAGGCACAAAAAGACCCTTCAAAGTGAGTGATATCACAAACATAATAATAATAATAATAATAATAATAATAATAATAATAATTCACACTCATACTTCATTTCTTGTGCTTTTCATAATGTCAAAATGTCGTTTTTGTCCTTAATGTAAAACCAAGATTCTTTTACCACTTATTCATTTAATGAGATGGAAAGTCGTTTGCAGGGAAACGACCTCTTCTACAGCCTCTTGTAAACAATGATGGTCTGAAGTAAGTTTTATGACAATATATGCATAAATTAAGTGCTAATTAAAACAGTTCAAAATATTATATATAGCGAATATAGGATGCATAAGAACATTATGAAGATTACGTATTTGCTAATTACGCAAGTTATTTGTGTATTTAATATACAGGCATTTCGATTATCTCTTCTATTGTGATTTTGAAGCATCAATGGCTGACTACAATTCCCAAAATGCCCTTAAGTATTTAAAAGTAAAAGTATTTAAAAAAGTATAATTTTTATTTTCTATTTTTTTCAGTCTTGACTTCTAAGCAAACACATTGGCAGAAAGATTTTATCTTATGGTAAGAATTTGCAACATTTTTTGAGATTTTTTGATAGCTACCCAATGGACATCAATTTGGTATGAGTGAATTGTACCTAATCAACCCTTGATATTAATATTTAGTAGATCAAAGGTTAAAAAAGTAAAATTCTCATTTAGATGATTGTCGTTGTACAAAAGTGGCCAAAACTATTCATGGGTTAAATCCACATGCTTCAAGATTCAAAAAGAAAAGAAAAGTAAAATGTTTGGAATAGTGGATGATGATTAGGGTAGATTATGCATAGTTTTGGTGGTAGAATATTTTATTATTATTATTATTATTATTATTATTGTTATTTTGTGTTCGCTCATTTTGAGAAGTGTTTTGTCCCTTCAACCATATTTAGCAACTAGACGACCACTACCACACAACAACCCTTAATCCGGAGTGGTTTGTAATATCTTCAATCGGATGATTGCTCAATGAAACATCAATGAAGACAATATTGAAAACAAATTTAATAGTATGATGTGGATAAATTGTAAAATAATAATCATACTTTTTCAACATCAATGATAGCAGCTTAACATATACTTTTATTATAAAAAAAGAAAAAACAAGTGGGCTTTACCAACTCTTGCTTTCCACTATGGTTGGCTAAGTCCACAACTGCAATGAAAGCTCAAGTCTGACCAACCCCACGCACAAGAACCACCCCTCCACCTTCCGATACTCCATTCCCACTCCTTATATATTCCCATACACCCTATCCTTCCATTTCAGCTTCATTTCAACCCACCATTACCCACTCTCGACTCTCCATTTCACAGTCAAACACCAGAGATTTGTTACAATGGCTGCCACCGGAGAAGCTCAGCCTGCAAAACACCAAGAAGTTGGCCACAAGAGCCTCCTTCAAAGCGATGCACTTTACCAATACATTCTCGAAACCAGTGTTTACCCCAGAGAGCCAGAATCCATGAAAGAGCTACGAGAGGTCACTGCTAGACACCCTTGGTAAGTCATAATTACTGCATGCATTTGATTTCCTAATGTTATATATAACGTATTAATTATGATTCACGAGTACGTAACTGAATTAATTATTAATTACCATAAAAACATTGTGGGTGCTTTTTGTTATCTATCTAATCCGTTTTACTTGTAATACTAAATGTAGGAATCTTATGACGACATCTGCTGACGAAGGACAGTTTTTGAACTTACTTCTCAAGCTCATAAATGCTAAGAACACAATGGAGATCGGTGTTTACACCGGTTATTCTCTTCTTTCTACTGCTCTTGCTCTTCCAGAAGATGGAAAGATATTGGCTTTGGACATAAACCGTGAAAATTACGAAATTGGCCTTCCAATTATCGAGAAAGCCGGTGTTGCTCACAAGATTGACTTTAGAGAAGGCCCTGCCCTTCCTCTTCTTGACCAAATGGTTGACGACGTAAGTACTTACAGATTTCCGAGAGGTTTATATTTATAAATTTTATTTTCTTTAAATTAAAAGTTAACTTTAGTTTGTATACTTTGATTTACAGGTAAAATTCCATGGATCATTTGATTTTATTTTTGTGGATGCTGATAAAGACAACTATCTTAACTACCACAAAAGATTAATTGATCTTGTGAAAATTGGAGGAGTGATTGGCTACGATAACACCCTTTGGAATGGGTCTTTGGTGGCACCTGCTGATGCTCCACTGCGAAAGTATGTTAGATATTATAGAGACTTCGTATTAGAGCTGAATAAAGCGTTGGCTGTTGATCCAAGAGTAGAGATATGTCAGCTTCCGGTGGGTGATGGAATCACTCTATGTCGCCGTATAAGCTAAACACAAATCATGGACAACCGAAATAAACAATTAATATTTATCTTTCATACCTTGAAAACTTGTAAATGAATCATATCTTTCATTGATTTCCATTCTATCAATTTGCATTGGTCATGTTTTAAATTATGCTTCCATAATCAGGATTTAAAGCACGAGTATTGCGGCCAAACTTTATTAATTCTATGTGCAAAAGGGTATATTTGACTGAAGAAACTAATGCAAAACGTTATTTTTCGACAACCGGGACCTTTTCCATAATTATACTACTTATTTCTATAGTTTTATTTTTAAATATATATAAGATATAAGATAAGATACAGGTAATCTCTATAATATTAATATTACACATGCATTATTTCAGTAAATTTTAAATTTCCTCCTATTACATATAGAGAATTTCTATAATAATCCTATTACATAAGCACAATGACAATTCTGCAATTCATCCATATTATCGACACATAGGCCATTTATGTATTTTTTACTTTTACACAGTGATCATTTATGTAATTTTGTATAATTTTTATTTCTTGGAAATTTAGTAGTTGTAGATATATTTTTGTACTTTCATTATTATACAAGGACCATCTTTTTAGTTCGCAAAACCCCCAAAAAAAAAAAAAAAAAAAAAAATGTGATGAAGTGACCATAATAACAGTGATAACGTGGTATTGGAGATTATAGTGGGTATATTGTAAGTTGCCGTAGAAAACGGTTTAACCAAGCCATGCCCTAGGGTTTGCCTTCGGCTGAGCGTTTATTTGGAAGGTTATTTTGTTGTCTTCTTGGGTTTTTGCAACTATAAATATAACTCTCTTGGAGTCGTATTCCACACTCCATACACTATTAGAAACCTGACTTTCAGCGATGAAATTAGCTACGGATTCTAACCGTAGGTAATCAGTGACGACTTTCTGAGGGATTAGTGACGGAACGCGCAAATATTTCAACCAAAACCCTTACAGAATTTTAGAGAGGTATTACCGAGCGATCAAAGACGGACCGGTAAGAATTTATCGACAAATCCTTCCCTTGATAATCCGTCGCAAAATTAAAACCTCTTAGCGAGGGAACAACAACCGATTCCTAAAAATTACACGACCTTTTTTTTGTTCCCCTCGCCAATCGGTCGCCGAAAATCGAAGACTCCTCTTCTTTTATTCCCCGCTTTTCTTTCTATTTTCCTTCCATCGTTTTATTTTCATTCCACGCTTTTATTTTCCTTCCTCTGATT